TAAAGGGAAATATGTAAGCTCAACAGCAAAGAACGAAAGGGCATACCTGCAATTATCTGCAAATTTTTTCTAATGACAGATTTCCAATGTAAGTTATACAAAGCATTTAACTAACAAAATAAATTAGAAGTGAAAAGTGAGTAAATCAACTTCATCCTCTTCCCCTAAATCAAATAACTAACTTCGACTCTTTTAAAACAACATTTACTGAACAATGCCACCTTATGCTTGAAGCACTACTTGGAAAAGAGACTCCTTTAAAACATTAGCAATATGCAATATTCAAAATTTAGTTTTTGATGATGCCTTTTTGCCTTGTCAGCTATTACAGCCTACAGCAAATGGATACAGCTTGAACAGATGCAATGCAAGTGTCCTAAAGACTCTTTAGTCCTAGCAGAAGGGCTGTATTTACAGATTCGTGATCCTTATTGCCAGGGAGAAGGACCTGACCAGGAAAGCTGCTTTTAAAAGTATAATCAAGTGAATTAAGAATTAGTTGGTACCCTCTTGAATGAAAGCACACACAAACACACACAGTACAGTACTCTGGAGAGAAAAGGAAGGAAAACAAGTCCTTTGGAGCAGGAGGAAAAAAAAAAAAAAAGAACAAAATAGCAAGATATCAAAGAGATAATACACAATGATCTTCCTTAAAAGAGCCTGGGTAAGAAAGCAAGTATGACACAAGATCTTGATGCTTAGGGTTTTGATATTTAAATAGAATATTTGTAGAATCACACAATGACTTGCGTTGGAAGAGACCAAAAGACCACCTAGTTCCAGCCCTCATACCACCACTTTGCAGCAATTAACCAAACATTTTGACTCTACAAAACCATTAGAGAAATAATTAAAAAAAAAAACTCTCTATCATAAAAACAAATCAAAACAACAAAGCAGTCGTTAAACACCACAATGCTTTAGAGCATGAGTAAAAAGATGACAGGGTCAGGAAGCAGCTTTTCCAAGACGTGTGTTAATTCCACACTACCCACTGGTCATCACATGAAGCGAGCAGCACCAGAGAGAGAAGACAGGACTATTTGAATCAATTCAGTTTGGCTTGGTGTTTTTTTTTTCTCCAACTATTTTCTGACTTAATGGCCTGGGAGCACCTCAGCAACTCCATCGATTAGCTGGAGCAACCCTGTGGCAAATGCAAATCAGTCAGAAACAGCTAGCTTTTACAGAAGTTAGCTTCTAAATGAAGTTTCAATTCTATTTAACTAATGACATGCCCAATATTTATGTGATAATAGCAATACCTTAATGTCCATTCAGTTTTCAGACAAGGCTTAGGGAAAAAGAGTAAGCTTGAAAAATTCTGCAATGTGTCTTTGACCAAACTCATATCCTGCATATTTCCCTTTAAAAGTTAGGCGTAGTGTTGGTAGTATGGAGATTTTACATTATCTCTATGCTAGCACAGAGCCATTTGCTGCATGAAAGATTTAGTCATGAGAGTCACTTGTACCTCCTTTAACATCTATCTACCGTAAATATTCCTACGATCATTATTCCTTCTTGCAGTGGCTTGTAACGTCTCTTGGGGTCTCGACTGCTTCAGAGCAGCCAAAACTTAGCACTGATCTGAAAGCGCTATGCTGTTTAGCTCTCTGATCTCGTGGTGGAAATGTGGAACAGAAACATACCAAAGCTATGCTACACATTTAATAACGTTCTCTGTTGCTGTACTAAACGATTCTCCTTCCTACAGCAACTTCCTGATACGTCCTTCACCTGTCTTGAATCTAAATTTCTGTGTATGACGTAGCAGGTAAGAGAACTCTTCTTTCTCAGAATCACAAAGATTGCATGTAGTTTCACTGTACGCCTATTAAAATTCCAATATATTTTGGGATGGAAATCCCTTGTATTAATGCAATCCTATATGGTTAAAAAATGAAGTCATTGTTTTTCCTGAAATATTTGTGCTGTTAATTAGCTTGTTGATTTAAAATGAAACAAACATACAAAAAACCTTAACCTCTATCAGTTTTTCAGAATGCTACCTCTCTGTTGCCATGGTCACAAGTTACCATAGAAACTATTAGACTCATCTGTATTTTTAGATTAAACTTCTACTTTCACAAAATATGGATTAAATCGATGGAAACTACTGATTCTTACCAGGAAATACTACAAAACTAAAGCCACAAATTAGAGTGACACTGCTGAGGCACACATACACAAAGAAATAGTTTAATTGCAGAGGAAACGAAGAGTTGCAATCACTACCATTTACAGAGCTCCTTCATGAGCTAGAAAACAGTCTGAATGGACAATTAAAAGCTCTGAGGACAGTTACTGTCTAATACTGTTGTAGCCATAAGCTTTGCTAGAAAATGTTTAAATTAAAAAGCCTAGCAAGTTTGAACAGCCTTTTTAGATAGGAGATAAGTGCAGCATTACTTCATATTTCTCCGCTAATGCCCCTCCCTTTTTTTCTTTTTATTTTTTAAGGTCGATTTTACTTATTTATGCCCTCCCTTTCTAAGCAGGAATTTCACTGACATGATGTTCGACCAGTCACACTCCAGCTATTTCCAGGCAGGTCTTTGCTCCCTCACTCAGTGATTTCATGTTGCATCGTGCCCTCTGCTGGGCAAACACAAATTCACAACCCTGCGAATCAAATGCCTTTAGATCAGCGCCGCGCTAATGGGAAACTTCATCACGAAAGTGTCATAGCAGAAACAAGCATTATTATGTAGTCTTTAATTTGTGCACTTCAAGGAAGGTGACCTTCGCCTGGCTAGATTCATCTCAGCTTTTCCATTTTTCTCTCTGGACTCTCATTCAAACAATGCTAGCTTATACATAGCTCAGCATACCTGAAGTTAGATGTGAACTCGGGGTCAAACATCAAAATAAGTTTCGCCTACCTCTGTGATTCTCAACATTTGAGAAATAATATGAGCAGGAAAATCAGAAGTGATGAGTCCATCAACTCAGTGATTTCCCCAGGAGGCAGCCCATGAATACAAAATAAGGTTTGAAGATCTGTGTTGTTTAATTTAAGAAAGCCATCTAAAGAAATTCAGCTTGCTTTCTTGTTGATAAGTTTTTTATCTGAAGTAATGCTTAGTGACGTAGTTTCTGTGTAAAAACATTGCCTAAGTTGTAAAATCTGGAACTATGTGAAGCAAGCAATGGCGCAGGTAATCCAACAGCAACAAAATGCACACAACTGCCGATTTCTCAATTTATTAACTGAATCCTGCTACTCCTTAACATTTTATTGATCGTAAACTAACTTAATTTTCTATTTTAAATCCTCGTTGCATATTTTTGTCATAGTTCTTCAAGGTAATCTGCTGCAGTTCTCTCAGTTGTATCTTCACACAACTGCTTTCCTGACTTTGTAATTTTCCAGCAGAATCTTTTCTTTCTCTACTTTACATCTCCATTGACATAGAATGACTAGCAGTAACTCAAGATTGCAACTAATGCTAAGGAGAGCATTCTGGGTGCTGACCTGCATTCTGAGCAGAAGTTTGCCTTACAACATTTTGTGCAGCACTGTTTACACTGCTCCTGAAAGCTCTAAGAGTCAGTTGGAATACTTAGTGAGAGTAAATAATGAAAAACATTTCCTCAAATGAATTCTCTCCAACCCCTTTTTGGCAAGGTTCCTCTGATATTCCATACAATTTTCTCTGGCTTTGACTTTTTTCTCCTCTGCTTGCACTGGGAATTAATTTTTGAAAATTTAGAGTCAAAACTACCTGTACTCTGGTGGAAAATGTTCTCTGATATTCACAGAATTACAGTCTATCACGAGTTGGGTGGGACCCACAAGGACCATCAAGTATATAAGTCCTGGCTCCATACAGGACCACCCAAACCAACCAACCAACCAAACAACCGCATTACATCTGAGTGTTGTCCCAGTACTTCTTGATCTCTAGCAGCTTGGGGCCACAGTTACTAACTACCCTGGGGAGCCTGCTCCATGCCCACCACCCTTTGATGCACAACTCTTCCCAAATATCCAGACCGACTCTCTCCTGACAAAGCTCCACATTGTTCCCTTGAGTCCTGTCCCTGCCACGAGAGCTCAGAGCTCAGCACTGCCCCTCCACTCCATATGAAGAACCATAGGCCACCAGGAGGCCTCCCCTCATCCTCCCCTGCTCTGGGCTGAGCAAACAAAATCTCCTTGTCTGCTCCTTAGACACCTTGCCCTCTAGACCCTATATTATGGTCCAGAGTACAGTTGGCCATTTTGTCTGCCAGGCCATGCTGCTGACACATGTTCAACTTGCTGTCAACCAGAACCCTCAGATCCCTTAAGACAGGCAGTCAAGTGCACATGCAGAAGTGATAAGCTGTGTAAAAAGGTGATAATCAGCAAAATGTTGAATGAAGATGGTAAAATATTGTTGGATACTTTGAACATCCCTTCTGTTTGAAGGAATTTATCTTACAGAGGCTATCATACTGGCTTTCATTCACACACGAAAGCTAATAATTTGTTAGGGAGTAACCATTTTGTTCTTACAGTCCCTGACATAGTTTTCTCTCTAGAAAACTACAACATAGAATTAAGATATTCATACTTTAAGTCTAACTTACCTCTCGTGAAATGTGCCAGCTGGTTAGTAGAAATGCTTCAGTGCTCATTTATGCATTTCTGATGTCCGTTGTCATGAATATAGATACCACAGTTCTGATACATTGTGAGTCAAAAATCTTCATTACCTCTTGCAAATTATAAGCAAACAAGATAAGCTACACACAAGTGCTTCTTACTCTCAATTTCAGAATATTTTTCAGTGCATTTTAAACACATAACTGTCTGTGTGCCAATGAGGCATTTCTATCAAAGCTTCAAGAGAAATATCTCCCACCCTCAACAGTGTAAGCATGCTTGAGGCTCATCTCCTGTATGACAGAACAACACTTTGTCCAAACTCTGGATAATAACCAGAAAACTTATTTTCTCCTACTGTTACCAAAGCAAAGAAAACTATAGGAAGTTCGGTTGTTTTTTTTTTCTTTGCTTGTTTTTTGTTTTCCTCATTTGTCTGAATGGGTGGAGAGGATAAAAGCAAAAAAAGAAAGTTTCTTTAAACATGTTGTAATTGTCCACTGTTTAAATACACAGACTATAGACACCTATACAAAGTTTATTTGCATGGATGAGCTAGGCTAATCTTCCTTTCAAAAGGCAACTCAGCCAGTTAAATTTTGCTGCAAGTCATCTACTGTGTATTGATACTCACTTATGCATACCCAAGCTGTTATTCCTACAATACTGCTATGAAACGTACTCTGGCAGTACTGCCTACATTTGTTTGCCATTTAGCAGAACTCTCCCTTTCCGACCTGCTGCAAAGACTATGACTAAATTTCTTATCTTTGATTAGTCAGTTTAGCACTGCATTTCAGCTGCAGCAGCAAACATTTCAGATACAGCTCAGAAAGCTGCCCATTATATGAAACTCTGCCTATCGGCCACCAAAAGTACATTCAATTTCGCATCTTCTCACAAATGTTACTTCTAGGTTGTCAGAGCTGAGAAACAGAGCAAGAAAATGATGACTTGCCTGTTATATGGTCATAGAAAAAAGTTCAGGAAAAGCAGCAGCTACAACCTAATTACCAGGAAAAACAAAACAAAATAAAAAGCATGCTTATCACTGTTTCTTTTCACTTCATGTTATTGTGATTCCAGTTTTTCTTTACAAACAAAACATTGACAATTATGACATGGAATTTTTGGGATTCTACAGATAGCTGGTACATGACTGTAGCAAAATCCAGCATTTAGCTAAAAAGGTGCATAACACAGGCTTTGTTTGCACATTCAATTTCCCAGATTAACCCATCCCCTGGAGCTCCTTGCTAGTGTTTTCCCAGTATGTCTACCACAGAGTGCTTGATATTTATCAGGTACTTTCCACAATCTGACTGATCACTGAGGAAAAATTCAAACTCTATGGTTCTGAGGTGATGAAAGGTTCAAGAATCTAAATGCACATAGGTCAAGCCCAGCTTAGAAAGGTGGATGGTTTCTGTAAGAGAGAAACCAGATTCCAATCTGTAGAATACAGAGCTGAGTAAGGTCAGAGGTTCAGAAAACAGTTGTCACTTTTTCCTAGACAAACCTGTACTGCACATAACACATTTTCCACCCTACCCTATCTCACAAGACAGGTTCTTTGCTGCTGTGAAAGCTCATTGTCTTCATTTACCTTCAAACTATTTGTTCCCACAAGTTACTCTGCACACTCCTTAAGACCTCTTCTCATTTGAAGCCATTAGGCTTCATAGCAGCACCTTAGAAACAACATAAAACTGAGCTGTTTACAGCATCTTGTAATAGTGCCAAATTCCAGATGAAAGGTGACTGTTCTCCGATCCTTTCTCCTTGGTAACTCTAAAGTACATTCCCATGCTTCATGTGCATTTATGCATATACAAAAACATTAAATTCAACCATTAATAAAACATTAAATTCAGTAGGTTCCAGACCACGTATAACACAGGAACTCTTGGGCAACCAGCTCTAAGTAGCCCTGCTTGAGCAGGCCTGTCAGACCAGACAACTTGCAGAGATCCCCATCTGAATTCAACTCTTCTCTGAACTCACACAGCCTCACAGAATATTTTGCAGGTTTTCCATGTGTGTTCACAGGGCAACTCAAAGAGCAGCACAAGATGTGTCAGCCTGGTGGTTCCCAAAAGGAATCTAAGAACATCTCTAAAACTGAACAATTACATAAAGGAATGTCATTCAGCATCTCCCTGGCAAACAGCAGAGTAATATGTCAATGCAGTGTCTTCATCAGAAAGAAGGATAAGAATTTTCTCCCTCTTTCCAATTTCTCTCTTAGGCAATAACCCATACTTTCTAGAATTGCATGCAAGTTTGGAAGACAGAAAGAAAAACTCAGAACAGCTCAACAGTTGCTCTGAGGCGCATCGACACTACATAGTCAGCACATAAGCCGCCTTCATACAATGTTCTGTTGTGCCAGAGAACTAGCAACATGTTCCATGACCACCCCAGTGTCTTCCTAAGGCACACATTTCCTGCCTATCAAGATGGCAATAGAGAAATAAGATTCAAAAGTATCAACTTCTGGAAATTCAGGGTTCTCTAGAAATCTCTGCATTCCTTTCTGTGTCCCAGAGGAAATTATGTTATGAGGAAAGAGGTACAAATGCTTACTGAACTCAGTGGGTTCTACTGCTAGTTACAGATTAAACCATTTGCTTAATTGCACAATCAAGCTCACAGAAGATACTGAATAGAAACTACATTCCAGCATTTCCTGTTGGAAACATTGAACAACAGCTGTTAAAGCATTTTATCAAAACAGCACATTCAGCACTCTCAATAGCAAGAGAATTTCTATGCAAGGCCATGTCATCCAATGCAGAACTATATCTAGGAATTCACTAAGGGTGGTGGCAGATCTGCAGAGGCTTTGATCAAGCAGAGCGAATTCTAGCAGTCACATCCGTACTGGAAGAAGAAAACAGTGTCCATTCTAAGACATTATCTTGCTCTGGGCCAAGTTCTGCTGCCTAACATCATCAGCTCTGTATCTCACACACTCCACATAGCCTGTAACTACTCCAGATTCTTAATTTTAAAAAGATATGATTTAATTTCCCTATACAAGAAGTCAGATCGATTGACCCATACTTACCCAAAGGCTATGATATCAAGCATCAATGTTAAGTAAAAGATACTTAGTAAAGCATCTCGTTCAGGAGGACAAAAGCAAATCCAAACACCAAAATTGAATCTTCAGAAATTCTTCTTGCAATTAAAAGCAGGACAAGTTACTGCAGATGAACTGAATCTAGAAAGCATTCTGGAAAGTCACTGTATGAAAACCTAATAATCAGAGACTATCAAAGCATGCACAAGAAGGCAGAAAGATCAGCATAAGGACAGACTAATTAATCCTTTGCCTCCAAATCAACTCCCTCACAATGATTTAGATAAATAATTTGCCATGGAGATTTTTTGTTGGAAAAGAAGAATATAAAAATATGATTATAGAGATAATCTATATACTCTAGATTATATATAGAGTATATAGATTATATACTCTATATTATTATAGAGAATAATAGTTTCTTGCGTCCTAGAGTTTCTTGTACTGAACAATTCCTCACAACTTAATCTTCCTCATATTCAATAAGGAGAGGAATTTCCACTGGGAACAGAAAGAATTCTTGCTGCAATACTTGCCATTCCATGTACTAGTGAGGCACATATACAATGCTTTCTAGCAGAAGAAAAAATGAACACTTTCTACTTCCCCTTCCACCCTTTGCCTCCCCAACTCAAATCCCAAAGTAAAATCAAAGATTTTCTACTGGATCCTGGGTAAGAATTTGTGCATGCTTTAGGACAAGTACTAATGACAAGATGCAAGTTTTTAACACAGTCAGTCAAGGTTTAAAATTTTAAAAGCGACAAAGAAAAGTAAAAGCAACTTAATGGTTTTCCCCAAACATTGGGTAATTCATAACAATTTGACACCAAGACAGTATGAAATAAAAAATTCAGCCTCAATCTCCAACTTTACAAACTTCCGAAGGGCTATTCCTTAGGACAGAAATATTTGTGGAATCTTACAGCAGGGCTTCCATACATTGTCAATAACAAAATGCTGGGTCTCTGTGATGAATGTACTGTAATTTGAGAAATATACAGCACGAGACACGAGCAAACATGAATGTCTGCATCATGAACTCTCTGTGATGGTGCTCCCCCATTACAGAACTCAACAACAGGAGAGCTATGCATTTCTGTTCATCTTTTCTCTGCAGTTTCATTCCCACAACATATATTCTACATGCAACGTAATTCTGTTATAAGCATTGGATGCTGCTCAGGTCTCAGAACATTGATAAGCATGGCTAATGGTCAAAAAAGAAAATTTGTGCAAGAGCTGGAGTAGGATAAAGCAGGATGACTGACAAAGCAGAATAGTGAGCCCTAGTCACCCCACCCCTCTTTTATCCTCCATAAATCGAATTCTGCAATAAGACAAGGTTGTACATCAGCTATTTGTCTGTTCTTGTACTCTGAGAATAGATCTCCTAAAGCTGAAAGACAAGGGCTTCTGGAGCTCTCTAGTATGTCTGCAGACTACAGCGAGTCAGATTTTCCCCAGGAAATCTGCTAGAAAGTAAGAATTAGTCTGTAGAAAAGCATCACTGTAACACGGAATTCAACAACTGGCAAACTGACTGCTTTTCCCACTGCACAGAAATGATCTCACTCTGATTTTACAGGAATCAAAGTGAACAACAGAAATAAAACTCAAGTAGCTTTTTTTTTTTTTTTTAAAAAAAAAAAAAAAGGAAATTGCCAAAATCTTATGAATGATCACCTTTCCTTCTCAACAGCCACCTCCCGTGGATATCTGTATCAACTCCTTCATGTATGCAGACAACAGCACATTTTCTTCATAACTAAGCTTACTAATTTCATCACTAACCTTTTAGAAAAATAAAAACAAGCTCATCTTCCAGTACTAAAATCCATAATCTGGTTTACTCCTCCCATGAGCGAGTCCTTTACATTCAAAAGCACTCAGCATACACCATTTTAGTCACTTCTGGAAGGGGATGGACATGACAGTTGTGGTCCGTTCTTAAGACGGATGAATCGTTGTGGGCACTTCTTAACACAGCTGCAGAAGGATACCCAGAGCAAAATAAGACAATGTGGGGAGCCACCCAACCCCGAGGAACTCCACTGTCTGATTATTTTTCCAGCATCAGTGCAACAGGTATCTCTAACCCTGGTCAGTTCTCCTCATCAAGATTCTCTCCAGTTAGGGTTATACGGAAGGAATTTCAAAGCAACAGGTTATGTACAGACACATTAGCACTTTCTCCAAGAGGGGGATGAAAAGGAGAAAATTCCTGAGGATGTGCATCCTCTATTCCACGTTCTGAATCCCAGCTTCCCCCCTTGACCTTAGAACGAGCTCTACAAAGCAGTATCTGTTATGTACATTAATCTCAGCTCCCTTCCTTAGGAGAGTTTCCACTCAAAAGCTACAGGCAAATCCTGGGACAGAGACGGGTGTTGTGGAGGGGAGGGCTCCTTAGGATGACTCCCCAGAAGTAAGAGAACCTGCAGCTTTCTTCTTAGGGCGGGCTTTCACACTTTTTACAGGCAGCTGAGGAGAAAGAAAGAGGTATCTTATATTAGTTTACTGCAACACCGAGATGTCTAACAGAAAGAGACAAAGATGCAAAGAGAAAGTAGGACAAAAAAGCTACAGCACAGTGACCCTATTCACATCATCTATTGTTTCAAAAACACTATTTAAATATTTATGTTGTTGCTAATCAGCTTACTCTCAGCATATCCTTCAGAAAACAATAAGGAAAGGAAGACATCATGAAACAGGAAATGCAATAGCAAATTGAAGTAAGTTGTCTTGGCAAAACCTTAGACATCACAAAAGTTCTAAGCAGTAACACCGACACAGCATTTTCACTGCATTAACTTTTCCGCTTTCTGACGACCATTCCTAATAGCCCAAATCATAGAAACATCTTGAATTAGTAATTCAAACTAAATAAGCCACGTATGAAAAACGATATGCTTACAAAGGGCTTTACTGGAGTTTCTGTATTCACAATGAATGGCAGAGAGTCATTACAGCCTTTTCACAACTTCTGAGTCACTTCAACAATTTCCCACTAGAAAATATTTCTCCTTATGTTTCCCTGTCCACTTCCACTGTACTATGGAAGGAAGTAGAAGGGTCAACATAGGAGTAAGCCTTGGAGATTTAAGAAAGATCCAGACCTATTTTGAACACTCTAAAAATATCTACTGCCTAAATATGGAAGCAAACCTAGGTCCTGGCTTATGTAATAAAAAAACAAAAACTATAGAAGATGACAGCAAGCAGATGGCAAGTCCTCTGATGTAGGACTCTAGCAGCAAACTCTCCAACAACGCTTATAAAAACCAGCTATTAAACACACAGACTATGAAGCCAGAGCCTTCTGACAAAACCTTAGGAATCAATGTCTGTGTTGGAAACAATTTATACACCTGCTCACCTCAGATTTTGTCATCTTCCTAGGAGCTTTGAGGCTCTGCGAACGTTTTGGTAGTTTGTCTCCTGCATCTTCATCTGATGGGTCTGTTCTAATCTCTGATGGGGTTCCATTAGGTCTCTGTACCACGCCACTCTCCTCTCCTGAGGAGTAACAGGAAGCTAAGAGATGAGAAAAAGGTTTTTTTTCAAATATTTTTGAAAAGTCATATTCAGATGTGATTTTTAGACTTTATGTGCCAACATCTAATCTAAACTGTCCCATCCTTAAGGACCACATGGAAGAGAGATGTCAAAATTCCTTCAGGAGGACAATCCAGGTACAAGGATTTATTAGTAGTTTGGAAGGAACAAGGAAAAAGAACAGTTTCTCCCAGATAATTTGCAAACTTGTAGTCTTTCAGAGACCTGGTGCATGAAGTCCAGGAATCCTCACTTGCTGGCTTACCAAGTGAGGCCTCACACAGTGGCCCAGCAGGGATTTTCTGTACCTGAATCCTCAATAGTTTCAAGGAGGCTTCCTCCAGGGGGGCGAAGCTGTGACTCATGGCTTTGCAAATGCGCAGCATCTTCGTCGCGGATCAGAGTGAGATCCTGCATGCTGAAACTTCGTAACTTCTCAGACAAAACTCCTTGGCCCTAAGCACATAAAAACTGGGGTCAAAGACACTTCACTTTCACCAAAATCATCTCATTCAGAAAAAGGAAGGTGCCACATTCCCCACTACAATACTATAAGACAAGTACAAAGAAACCAACATCACCAGAAAAAGAAGGAAAAAAGTATGCTCCCAAGACCAGGGGAAGAGGTTAGAGCAAAATCCGTTCCACTCTACCTCTGCTCGTCATAAATCAAAGGACGAGATTTACTGCAAGGCAAACTGGTGTTAAGGTAAAACAGACAACAAGTACTAGCACCCCTAACTAACACAACTAATGCCTGGTATACACAGCTAAAGTACTGCCGAATTCCAGAGGGTCACAGAAGGTTAAACCATGTTTGTAGTGCAGGTGTTGCATTACCTTTGCAGCTGCAGTAACTGCTGCATTTGCAGCCAGATTTAATCCTCTTTTGCCAACTCGCATCATGGTTTCATAGCTTTTGTCACGAGCCTGAGTAATGTATTCATCAATTTCCTAAGAAAACAACATGCACCACAGCATTTAGCTACCAATGAAAAATAAACAAACCAACAAATGCAAACACTTGATCAGTCTTCCCCGTCATCATCTTTAAAACTCACCGCTCATCAGGGCACCTTTTTTTCTTTCAGTCTGCCAGACTAATCTGCCATAGATCAAATAATTGTATTTTTTCTGCTACTTACAGAAAGCTTACAAATGCAACTGTAACTTAAGGAATGCAATCTCCAAATTATCACATTTGAAACAAAGCAATTGCTTACAGTGAGAATGTGAAAAAACAGCCAGGCTACAGAACATATGGCTACTAACATGATTGAAAAAAATGTAACTACTGATAGTAGCTATAAGGGCTAAAGATGCTGGGACAGCCAAACACACTTTCTAAGCATTAGGCAAAATACTGGTTACATTATATTCTTCAGTAGGCTGCAGAATGACATAACTGTCAGAGGCAACCATTCTATGCCTACACACATCAGAAGCTCAAATTATGCATCTGAATTTTCATTAAGATTCACAGCTGAACGAAAATTGAATCAACTTCCAGGCAGGTCAGTATGTTCCAACACGTGAGTACCTTCTCCTTATTGGAGAGCGTTGGGTGCACAAACTTCCTGTAGAGGACACTGGAGCCCTTGGTGTAAGGAGAGAGCAGCCAAATCACAAATGCGATTTTCAACTCGAAATAAAAGGGAAACCTGAGAGAAAGAGAGAAGGGGAAAAAAAAAAAAAAAAAAAAAAAAAAAAAAAGAAAATAGGGAGAAAGATGGAAAACTGGAATCAAGATCATCACAGAGACAGATGGAGATAATTGGTAGACAGCAGCACAGGCAGAATGAGTAAAGAGAAAGTAAGGACTCAAACATAAAAGAATAATAATAATCAATATAACAGGTCAGAATAGCAGAATCCTCTCTGGAATCCTAGGATGCACCTTCCTGGAATTTCATTCAGTCTGGCATGCATAGCTACAAAAACTCCATAAACTGGGCACCTCTCGCCCTGCAAACACGCTGATCTCATCGCCACTCACCATTCTTTAGTTTGTTCAAAGACTATCTGCTGAATGCTACTATTGCAGCAGCTTCGTTTATTGGAGTTTTCAATTAAGTATCTCTAGAGCTCTCTAGTTGTTACTAACGCTGGTGGCTAAGAACAGGCAGCATGAGCCTTTCATCACTACTTCTTACTCAGTAAAGTCTCTGGGAAGATACAACAGTGGAGATTCAAATAAGCGAACACAAAATTCCCTGTCTCTGCTGGTATTAAGAGACTTCTGTTTTCAGCGGTTCACTTCTAAGGCGAAGCTCTTGTATTTTTCAGATCTTTGCTTTCTTATTCTTATTTCTTTAAAAGACATAACTCTGACTGGTCTGTAATCTTCCAGATGCATGCAAGACACGGACACTAAAGCAATTAAGAAAATGATATTTTGTTGTCACTGTTGAATGCCTCTGTTTGAATACTGCCACGCATGACACACAGTACTGAGGGACGAAAAGCTGCCTCACTCCACCCCTGGTAGTGGAAGACGTTTTCATCGTGCAAAATCATCATCTCAGAGCAAAGGCATGCATCCAATCTGCTCCTCCACACAACAGGCTTGCAAAGCAAAACAGGTCCTTTCCTTCTACCATCCCCCTCCAACCTTTTTTTTTTTTTTGTGCCTCTAACTTCATCACTTCATGGAACAGTATCTCAAAAATGTTTCATGTTATGAATGGATGAAACCCTCTTAAAGAGGCTGTGTCTATCCTAGCTGTCTGAAATTAGATTAAACAGTTAAGACAGCAGCTTAGACACAAGGTTTACAACCCCGCATACTTTATGGACATTGAAAACTCCTGCACAAGAGAGAAAGCTTATTCTTAGTACTACCTTAAAACAAACAAACAAACAAAAAAAAACTTAAAAAAAACCCTAAAAATAATAACAAAAAAAAACAAAACAAACAAACAAAAAAAACCCACCACACGCTACCAAAGTACTCACCAAGAAAGAACAATGTCTGTGAGTGTTTCTGCAGTGGTGAAAAAGGCAAAAACAATCCAGTACATCATCCACTTTACCTGCAAAAGAGCAATCACTCACATCAGAAAAGAGAAAAATAGCAAAATGTCCTCTCATTAGAGATGACTCATCACTTCCACACACTAAGAAGTCAGCAGAAACAAAAACCAATACATATATAATCGGCAGTATAGCTGCCAAATGTTACATTTAGTACAGAAAACCATGTAATATTAATGTTCACTAAACACATCAACATTATGTAAACAGTAACATAAAATATCAGTAGATACATAACATATAATAATGGTGGGTGGCATCACTCAAGGGTTTGCATAAGGAATGGAACTATTTAACATCATTATCAGTGACATAGAGAGTAGCATTGAATGCACATACAGCAAGTTTGCAGAGGACACCAAGCTGTGTGGTGCAGTCAACACACCGCAGGGAAGGGATGCCGTCCAGAGAGACCTGAATGGCCCTGAGAGCTGGGGCCTTGCAAATGCCACAAAGTTCAACAAGGCCAAGCACGAGGTCCTGCGTCTGGGCCAGGGCAATCACAAACATGAGTACAGGCTGGGCAGTGAGTGGATGGAGAGCAGCACTGCGGAGGATTCGGGGGTACTGAATGGAAAGCTGATGTTGATGAAGCTGGACTTGCAGCCCAGAAGGCCAATTGTATCCTGAGCTGTGTCAAAGGATGCATGTACAGTAGGCTGAGGAAGATGGTTCTTCCCTTCTGCACTCCCATGGGAGCCCACCTACACACTGCATTCGGATCCCGGGTCCCCAGCATAAGAGAGACAAATTTGTTTGAGCAGGCTCAGAGAGTGGCCACAAAGATGATCAGAAGGCTGGAGCCCTCTGATCTATGAAGACAGGCTGAGACCTAACAGTGGCCTTCCAGTATTTACAGGGGGCCTGCAGGAAAGACTGGGAAAGACTCTTTATTGGAGTGCAGTGGTAAGGACATAAGGTCACAGTTTTAAGCTAAGAGAGGGTAGGCTGAGATTAGCAGTTAGGAAGACATTCTTTGTGTTGAGGGCTGTGAGGCACTGGAACGTGTTGCCCAGACTTGTGGATGCCGCATACCTGAAAGTGCTCAAGGCTGGCTGGGTCTTTAGGCAACCCGATCTCGTAGTACATGTCCTTGCCCACGGCAGGGGGATTGGAACAATGCAATCTTTAAGGTCATTTTATGAGTCAACGATTACATTTGTTCAGAAAGGGTCAAAGTTAATTTGCAGATGACACCCAAAATATCAGACTTACTCTGTTGCTAGAAAGAGACAAATTATTTACTTATCCCCAAGCTACACTATCCCTACCTCTTGCTACACTGCTTCCCTATAGGGGCTACAGAGTCACTACAATGTTTCCAACAAGCTTATATAAACATTAAAATATAGTACTGTTGGAGATAATAGGTAAGGACTCTTGAGGATTAACAGTTGGTTCAAAGACACAAAAGAAAAGACAAAAATGGAAGGAAAAAAGACAAAAGAAAGGATAAAAATTTCATTTTCAGAAAGAAAACAATATCAGAAAGAGGTAAGTACCATGGTTACATAAGTTAGCTCTTGACACCCAGAAATAATCACAGTAGACTATAAAACTAAGCTCTGTCTTACCAGACCTTTGTAGTAGTAATGCAATGGTCAGGAGAACTGAGTGGAAGTGTGAAGAAGTAAAAAAAACATTGCTATGTTACTGTTCAAATGCGTGGTACGTTTAAATGTATGACATATTCTCATGTTCAATAAGGGAAATGGATCTGGGCCTTGCCCTCTTCTTCTCTTACCATCATTCATTCTACCCCTCTACCCGCAGAGGAAAAGAAACGCAGTTAAATATGGCAGAGGACTGAAGTTCTAGGTCTAGAAGTCACTGAAGTGTACATCCTCAGAAGCTAGAAAAGCAGAAAGCATGGGGAGTGGCAGATAGGGAAAAATATTTCTTTATTTTCCTTATATTTCTAATCCACAGATCACTAACATCTTCAAAAAACTTACAGTCAAGCTAAGCTATATTTGTTCTTTGATACATTAAAGATAAGTCAGGTCCTTGTTGCTCAACAGATGAATAAACACCTGTTTCAGCTGATAGCACATATGCACATAAATCGCTTCCCCAGTTTGCACCAATAACCTAAATCAACTCACTAAGTACAAAACCATAAATGAAATGTAGATCTATCAAAGCTACACACTACATGTAAAAGGAAAAAAAAAAACCATCCAAAACAGCGTAAGGTACCAGAGGCTGCCTGTCAAGGCTGGTTGAGGACTTTCGTCTTTGTCACGGCGGGTAAAAGCAATTGCACTGCACTCGAACACCATTGCTGAACTGCATCTGGCGTCTCAATCTGTATCACGGTAGCCTTCAGTGCATCATACTCTCCCCATAGATATATCTGCAAGGTCTTCCCCCACCACCTGTGTTGGTTCTTCAGCATTATGAGCAAGTTGTAGTGCACAGACACAGCTAGCTTTATAACCACGCATCACAGCATTCAAGCTTTCCACTGACATTTCACATGAGTAGTTTGAACAGATATCATTCTCCCCTTTACTATGTTTAAACAAAACTTCTTTGTTCTGGTCCCTCTGCTTCTCTTGAAAAACACAAAGCCCTCTAAAGATTAATGATTTGGACAGCTGGAATCTATTATATACATGTTTAGTTCTGATATAGTCCTCTTAAGAATAAATAATTTAAGAAAAGATGGATTTTGTTATTTCAGATGTGTTTCCTTGAATCAAAGATCAGGTTACTAACATGTAATTAGCTGCCATTTTGGTTCTAAAAACTTAATGAAACTAGTACTGTATTTCATTTCTTTTTCATCACCAGATTAAGCAAGACCTGCTGCAATATAGGTAACATTTACCAAAAGAAAATCAAATCAGTGCAAGGTTTATAATCTGCAAGACATCGCGTTTCTGTACCTCAGCAGTCAACCTACCCACAGAAAATAAGCCAGTTCTTACTGTAAAGTGTGCCTACAAATTCAAAGACTACTTGGGGCCATGAACTCCTTAACTCTAACCCTAAGTTCAGTAAGGTTCAAAGTATTCCTGACTATACCTCTAATGCCAACTCCTAAACGCTCTTCTGGATGTCAGCTGTACTGAACATTGACATTTTTCCTTCTCTGTTGAAGGAAAGAAAGAACGGAAAAGTAAAAATCAGCTGAGCTAACTGTTGTTTTTAGAGCTTTCTACTACGAGACAATTTCACATCAGCCTCTATTACATTCTAAACCCCATGGGCTGAATTTTAGGTAAAGGCACAGGAAATGTCTAGGCAGTTTTATAAGACTAAAGCAGCGTAAGAAAGATCCTGCAACATTTATCACTGACGTGCTGTTTTGCAAGTAGCAAACAGAGTTGGTTGGATGAAGAATCTCAGACTGTACTGCAAAGCAGCATCAGTAAATTACGTCCTACTCAGTCACATTACCTCTCTTCTCTATCTGACTATTCATTACCCTAAGCAGAAATAAATCCATCCTACCCATAAGCCAAATAACTTACCTCCACTAATCACCTTTGAACAACAGCACTTCTCTAAAGGTGGCACATTTCATCACTGAAAACCCCGTGGTGGTTTAAATAACACAATTGCAACAATAGCATAGGCACAGACAGAGAGAAATAATTGCAGGAAGGAATGGGAATGAAGACCCGACCAAGAGAAATTGTTGATAACAGCAAGGTAGGTAAGAAAACACAAATCAGGCAAGATTGCTCAGGCCATTAGAAGAAAACAGAAGCAGTACTGAAAGAGATGTAGAACGACAGTGCATAAGAAAAGAGTTCAAGAAATAACTCGTCCCTGGACTTTCACGTGCTTCCAGACTGCAGTGTTTCCTCCCACTTCTCCTTCCTCAGACATTTCCTGGGAAAACAAAAAAACAAGCCCCCAACCCACATTTACAGCTTTAAGCCTCCCATTTCAGCACGCATCCTTCGCCAGCAACTTCTCCAAAGCCCGTCGGGGCTGCTCGTTAGGCAGCCTGGCCGACCCGGCAGCACTGCGGGGCGGGCGGCTCCCGGTACCACCGGGTCGAGCTGTGGATCGGCAGGGTGAAGGAACGTGGAGGAGAGCGTTGGTCACACGGCGAACCCATACTCACGTATTCCTTCACGTTTTTCGTCTTCACGGCCTTGTAGGAGGAGTAAGCGGGGTAGAGCGTACCGAATATCAGCCTGCAAGAAGAACAAACCCCTCAGCACCTCGCGGCTCCCTGCGTCCCGCACCGCCGTCGCCCCTGCCCGCCTCCACGGCCGGGAGCCCCCGGCGGCTCCCACTCCTCCGCGGCGGCCGCAGGAAAGGCTCGGCCGCCCCCACCGCAGCGGCGCCGCCCTTATAGGAGGCCGCCGCTCCAGGGCCGCGGAAGCCTGCGCAGAGCCGCCAGGACGCACCGCGGTCCCCCCCCAGGGACGCGGGGTTCTTCTCCGAGCTGCAATCCGCGGCACCGCCGCAGCTCCGTTCCAGGCGGCGGCCGCGCCCGAAGCGGGGCACCCGGCCCTCGAACGCCCCGCGCATCCCTTCCTCCCAGACTGCGGTACTCACACCACGAGACGGGAGATGATCCAGGAGACCATGGCGGCGCCGGGCAGGGTCGGTCGGCGACACACGGCTCCGCGGCGGCGGGAGGCGGCTCTTAAAGGGCGGGTCCCGCAGAGAGCACCGTGCAGCCCCGCCCCGGCCTCTTACAGGGGCGGAGTCGACGGGCCGCATCGCGCCTCCAACCTCCCCGCCCCGTTCGGGCGGTGCCCGCAGCCGTTCGCTCCAGGCGCGAGAACTGCGCGCTCCCTGGGGGCAGAGCGGCCTCTCCCGGGCGGAGAAAGGGGAGGGCGGCGTGGCTGTAAAGAGATCCTGCCGGAAAGATGGTAGGCGAGTAACATGCACGATGTAAGAAAGGCTGCAGAAGAGGGAGCGATGACTTAAGGTGACAGATGCTTCAGGAGCAGCAAAAGAGACTATGGATAAAGCAGTCTTCCAAAGATAGAAGTTACCTGCTCTACAGAGCGCAACACAACAGCCAAAACGCTGCTAAAATCTAGATGACGTAAATTCAAAAATCTTTCTAAGGCTCCCACTCCCCAGGATGCGAAATTCAACTAGTTAACAGACACGAGTCAGTGTCCTCAAACTAAGGGATGAGGGCTGGTTCCAGGATAACTCCACAGTGCCTGGTTCTCTTGCTCTTGAGAATCACTGTGAGGCCTAGAATTGCCCAGCTATCCAAATAGAGCTGTAGAGGAGGGGAGTAAATATTATCCGTCTGCATATTTAGACACAGCAGCACACCAGAAAACACAGTAGCAAAGACTGTTTTAACAACTCAACCAAGAGTACTGTTCAGAGAATCCTTTCCTTCAGCCATTGCAAGAGTTAATTAACGGACTGCTTTGCACCCCCTAAGTAAACTAGAGACAAAGACTGATCAGGCTCTGCACACTGATCTTTCAATCATGTTGAGATGATCATTAGATAAGCCGTTTTTTAATTTAAAAAAAAAAAAAAAAAAGATTTGCTAGAAAGCCTAATGTAGCTTCTTACTACCAAAACATAAATAACAAAAAGAACCCAAACAACAAAAATATATTTAAAAAAGGCAAGTACCATGGCAGAACCTCATTACTTGTGAAAATAGCCCTTCTGAAAAGGGAGTAAACCATAGACCGACCAAAAACAATGAGTTGCTAGGGAATAATTTTCTCACGGATGCATGAACCTCAGCATAATGAGCAATGATGAAAAACACAAAACATCAGCAAATTTCCATTACATCTAAGACCTGAAAACAAAACTGTTGCTACAGACAGTGACAAAGAGCATTTTGTCACAGTCTGCTCGTGGATACAAATGGCCACAAAATGATTGCATAAGGGACTGCACAATTTACAATACTGGCAGCACAAATTACCTACAGATAGAATAAAAGGAATATGCTTCCACAAGTCCAAGCAACAAAACGTGCACTTCCCTCCTGAGAATGACTGTCTGTTTATTCCCACCAGTTTCCTATCAGCTTACAACAGCTCTGGTACCTGAACTATGTGTTCACATCTAAGTGAGCAAAAGATGCTGACAGAACAGGTAAAATTGGGAGACATCTTGGGTACAACGTATGAAGAGAATGCAGCATGGGTGAGCAGCAAACCAAGGAAGCGTGCCGTAGCATTTTACACAGTTCAGTGCATCGAGGAACAGTCTGAACATTCGCAGTGATATATTGACATAAACAACAAAATACAAACATCAATATTAATAAAGCAAGCAGACTTACAAATGTCATGAGAGCTCACCATTAAGTGGCAAACTGAGTTTAGAACAAGTTTAGCAGAAGCATTTTAAGACAGCAGCATATAGTTAGTAATAAGCTGTATTTCTTCCCAAAGAATGATAAATTAATCCATTAACTTACCTTCTAACGAGGAGAAGCTGTTAGTACTGAAAGGCTACTTTTGTAACAAAAGCTGGCTGCAAGACAAACGTAGTAAAGAGTACGATTTATTGCTAGTAGTATTTTATTGTTACTTACACAGCATAATGTTGTATAACTGAGACTGGAAGACTTATCTAAGAGCGGAAGAAAAGTTGTTTTCAAATTCAGGTTGTTTTTCTATCAGATATGCTACTGCTGGAGCAACTTGTGACAAACGTATTCTACAAATGCTTAAAATAGCTGATTATTGGCCATTATAGCCTGAGCAATCAGGCAAGGAAATAAAACCCTCCCTGAGTAGAGAAACTTCAGCAAAACTACATTTAGACCGATGCCAGGTCAGATGTGGAGATCCTGCCAATAGAGGCTCACGTAGAAGCTGCTGTAATTAAGAGAAATAACAATTACTCAGCATCAAGAACACAAGAGTGGCTTTGGATGAAACTTGCAGAATAATTATTGGCCCTAGGAGGAAATTCCTCTAAGATACACTGTCCACGGGTGTTTTCATACTGTGCTCCATTCACACGTGATGTAGCTCCACACACATTTTCCACCTAAGCAATACTTTTAAGATAGGCTAAAAGGCTGAGCAAGTCACTAGCACGTGTTGTGTACCTCAAGCACTAATTGTTAACTGCAAAAGAGGAAAAAAAAGAGGGAAGTGCTATACACACAGGAGTAATACATCTTAAAGAATATTTGTGCATGATAAATTCTTTCATCTTACTCTTATTTCAGGTAAATCCAAATTACTGTTTGACACCCAACTTCTCCACTACAGTTCTGATTCCACATGCTCAGGTTCTAGAATAGATTACCTCAGAGCTGAGGATTAGCAAATGGGTCACAGCCATCAAAATTTTAGTTACTTTTTTCCATATTTATTTTGCCTCAGAATACAGTTTATAAACAGAGAAAATATTAAGTTTTGCAAAGTTAACCTTTGCAGACTGTTGCATTTTTTAACCAATATCAAATAAGGAAGCTGTTGAGTTAGTAAGAGAGATCTTCAGACAGGAGATTTTTTTAATCTACGACCAGAAGAGATGCGTACATCCCACATAACATTTTGAAGACTGAAACAGCCCAATGACAGTGCTGAGCACGTCCTCGCACGGGTAAACACACATCAAACCTTCTGCATTGTGAGTGCATTCTAACTTCACGTGGGCAGGTATACAGCCACAAAAGCCTGTATCCCTGCTTCCAGTTGATTCCAGTATCACAGGATTCCAGCTAAAATAACAAGCAGAATGTAAAGCCAATACTGAAAATACTGCCTGCCCACTGTCTTATGCAGCTCCATCCTGTAACAGAAAGTCAGCATTCAGTAGCATTTACGTCATGACTGCAGCAAACAATTTTAAGACTTGCAAATCAAAGTTTTTATTTCCCCTCTGCTAAAAAAAATTTGTACCCTTTTATTTGATTATGATTCCATGTTTCACAGATGCTGCTTCTAAAAAAGATCATAAGCAGAAAACCATGAGATAAAACTGCTGTTTGCAGATCTTAAAACAACTTCATGATCACTTCAGTTTGCTAGTTTTGCTCTCTATATGAAGCAGTTACAGGAGATCACAGAATCACCGAATGGCTTCATTTGGAGGGGACCTTAAAAACCATTTGAACTCCCCTGCCACAGGCAGACTTGACAACCACCAGATCAAGCTGCCCAGGATCCCAACCTGGCCTTGAATACGCCTCCAAAGATGGAGCATCCACAACGCCTCTGCACAAACTGTTCCAGCACCTCACCACCCTCTCACTGAAAAATGTATTCCTAATACCTATCACCTAACCCCAATATCTACCCCTCTTTTAGTTAAAAGCTATTCTCCCTTGTCCTATCACTATCAGACAGTAATAAAAGTCGGTTCCCCTCCTGCTTGCAAACTCCCTTCAAGTACTAGAAGGCTACAATGGTATCTCCACGAAGCCTCTTCTCCAAACTAAATATGCCCATCTTCCTCTATCTTTCTCCACAGAAGAGCTCTTTGATGATCTCTGTAAGTCCTCTGCACTCAGTCCAGCAGATCTGCATCCTTTCTGTACTGGGGGCCCGAGGCTTGGGCACAGTATTCCAGATGGGGCCTCACAAGGGCAGAGCAGAGGGGGACTACCCAAACCCCAACCTCGTACAAAGATAACAAAGAGGCTGGGAGCACTGCACAACAGACGAGGTTTATGACGAAATAGATCCTCTTCCCAAACTACCTCTGAAGAAAAAAAGAATCTGCAGGCAGACTGGCACGCTCCCATCCACACATAAAATACTCAAGCCTTCTAGTCAGACACACAGCAAGAAGTTGTTAGGCAGTTTACGCTACTCAGAGGCAGAAGCTGAGATAACTTCACAGCAGGAATATCAGTGTCCAAGTCTGAAAGAAACTGTCCAGACTGTTACAGTAAATGACTTTTATTTAAAAAAAATGAAATAACCGTGAACATATTAACAGGCCTGCAGGTGGCACTACAGTACAGCTGGATATAAGGTAGATATATTTCCCCATGTACCCAGACAATGAAATTCATTGCATCAATGCTGACATTAGTAAAATCTGAATACAGTTCTATCAAGCAGGAACATTTTACTTAAAATAGTTCTGGACAAAGTTGATACTCGAAGGACAACTTTTCCTTCACTTTCAAAAGGATAAATGTTTTCAGCTAGCACTGGTACTCGAAAAACTATTGCCTGTAGCTACCAGTGCAGGTAGAGATGTACAACATCTCTATGGGAGAATAGAGCTCCAACTCCTTTTTACTTCTCATTCTGTGGAAGCAGTGGGGAGACGGGAGAAGACAAGTGAGGAATACGGGTAAGGAAGGTGGGCTTGTCAATTTCTATTCACTCTCCTTTGGCTGTTTTTGTGCTATTTTGGACTGCTTTCTAAAAATCACTTATTGATTTTATTGAAAGGAAGACTAAACATAATACACCTTTCCTTGAAAATCCAAGAACAGTTGTGGTACTTCAAAAATACTAAAAATATCTACTTTCATGAAATATTAACTGTTTAACTACAAACCTAGTTTTTCACTAAATACACAATTCTCCTGTTTCTGGAGTCTCCTGGGGAAAAAAAAGTGGGTTCTCCCTTTAGTTCTGCAACTCTACAGTGTATAGGGA